AAAACTTGCTATGATATGAAAAGTTGTTGTCTATGAAAATACTGAATTCATAAAACTGCCCCCTAAAATCTGCATTATCGTTAATAATGCATTAATGCTCTCATTGACCGCGTATTTCCAGATGTACACATACTATACATAAATCATGGTGGCTGGCAGAAAGAGCCATTAGCAGCAAAAAAATGTGGACGTTGATGAATTAAACTTCAAGATAAAACAGATATTGCCAGGCGACTTAATATCAAACAAATCGATCGATACAGTTTGTGATACCAACGAAGTTGTAAACTATCCAGCAGAGTTTTTAAACTCACTGGATTTGCCAGGCATGCCACCACACATTTTACGACTGAAAGTTGGATCACCGATTATTTTACTTCGGAATTTGAACCCACCACGGCTATGCAATAGTACGCGATTGGTAATTAAAAAATTGAAGCCACCATTTTGAATGGCAAGTTCCGAAACGAATAAGTTTTATTGCCACGAATTCCAATGATTCTCACAGACAAGCCAATTTAATTCAAACGCGTTAAATTTTCTATTAGATTGGCATTTGCAAAGACCATCAATAAGTCATAAGGCCAAACGATGTCCAAATTTTATATGCGTATTCAGTAGGTCTGAGAATCGGCTACTATCTATTTTTCATACCGCTAAAGTGATTAGGGAGTCCCTACCCAACAAAAATATCCTTATTGCTTTAACAAAAACTTTTTTATTTTTTGGACATAAATTTTTTTATATTTTTGAAAAAGAAAAATTTTTTTCTTAATATTTTATGTAACTACGCCAACAAGTACATCGAGCATTTACATTCACTTCGTTTCTTCGTCTTCGCCTTGCATGGCAGATGGAAAATGTACTAAAAATTTTTCTAAAGATTTCACTAATGATACTATAACAAATACCGACGAATATCCAATATATCGTCGAAGAAATCCCGATAATGGGGGACAATGGCGGGTGGTGCCATATTCGCCTCTGCTAAGCAAGACATACAATGCTCATATAAATGTTGAGTTTTGCAGTTCTGTGAAGAGCATCAAATATATAAGTATGTCCATAAAGGCAGTGATATGGCTGTGTTTAGAGTAGAAAATACTAATGTAAATGCTCCTCCAATGAACAAAAACGGTGAAATTACGTTCTACCAAATTGGTCGGTACATCAGCTCCAATAAAGCTGCTTGGCGTATCTTCGGTTTTCTAATTCATGAACGGGATCCAGCAGCTGTTCAGTTAGCCGTCCATCTTGAAAACGGTCAGCGTGTATTTTTCACGAACGAGACAGTGATTGATCGTGGTACAAATCCACCTAAAACTACACTCACTGCATTTTTTGAATTGTGTAATAGTACGGATGATTTTGGTGCCTTTGCAAGAACATTACTCTATTCACAAGTACCACGCTATTTCACATGGGCTCAAACAAAAAAATGGATGCCCCGCAAGCAAGTTTCACCAGTTGATCCATGTCTCAATTCATTTAAATCGAACGCTTATTTACAGTTAATCCAAGACACACTGAGTGCTTTTATCTTCAACTGTTGTTGGTTAATGTTACTGGCCCATTATCATTATTATTATTTAGAGTCAATCCAAGACAATTTAAATTTGAAGATACAGCAGTTGTTGCCAGGGAACTTGGTATCATATAAATCTATTGATTTTAAATTAATAATTTAATAAATAAACTATAATAACTTTGGCGTTTGTTATTTTTATTTTCCTTTTCGTTCATAGCGCTCCATGCCTATTTCATGCATATACCACATACTTACACACTTATAATAAGTAAGTTACTTTTTGTCTACACTAGAATTTATCTAGAAACTAGAAATAATTTATATGGCAAAACAACGTTTGTCGGGTTATCTAGTAATATATAAATATATGAAGAAAATTATGAATTTTAAAAATGTTTATAAATTTTTTAATCAAATATCGTTTAATTTTGTTGCCGATTCATGTAATTATATACAGTAAGGACAGAAGTACAAAATATTACGACTCTATAGATAATTCAACATAGTGGTGAATATACAAAAATTGTAAACAACCAAGTGCTGCACATGTGTTAAAATCAACAAACAATAAATAAAAAGGAATCATTGTAAACCAATGGCTGAAGAAGTCTTTCAACCTGTACAAACTCGTGCCTCATTAGCCTATGCTAAAAGAAATAAATGTAATGAATTTAAAGCATTGCATTTTATTGAACCAAAAACTAGTGCCAGTACTTCAGCAAGAGATGGTATTGACCAACAAAATGCTGCCGAAAATATTCATAAATTTAAAACAGAAAAGCAAAATGAAAATAAAATTAAAGACAAGAATGAATTTGATATTAAAACGGCGAGACATGAAGTTTTAAAATTTGCAATGAATAACCAACGAGTAATCAAAAATCAAAAAAAAATGTTAGTTTTTCAAGCAGTTAAACTAGGTGCCAAACCTCCCAAGAAAGCATATAAAAATTATAAGGAATTAAAAGATGAACGGAAGAGACTTAAAGATATTAGAGAGCAAAGAAAAAAGTTCCATCAATTGGGAAAGAACCAAACCGGCGCTGCTTCAGTGAAATGTCGCAGTAAAACGAAATTGGATAAACTAAAAAAGAAACGGGCCCCAGTTTCAAGAATAGATCAAAATTATGGTGTTGTTAAATCAAAAAAGAAATAAGAATAATATTACCTACATATATAATTAATTAGTAATGAATAAAATGCAAATATAACTTAAGATGACTGCCTTTTTTCTAATTTTCTAGTTTTCTTTTTCACCACTTTCAACTGTCAATGCTTTTGACATTTGTTTTTGTATTGTGATTACGTGAATTTCACAAGCATTTTTCTAAAACATAAAAATGCGTGCAAATTTTGGAGTTTTACACAGAATTGTACATCGTGCGTTTAGTCAAACGGGTGGGGAAATAAAATCGACTACGAAAGCCAGTACTGCTGCTAGCTCACCCACATCGATTAACACTAATGTGAAAGGACTTAGTAGCAACTGTGTTGAACCTACCAGCACCCCAGTTGGACCCGGAGCTGCCCCAAATGCACCTTATAAAGTGATGGAATATTTTTGTTTCAACCGTTTTAGTTATGCAGAAGCAGAAGTTGAAATGGCAAAGTTCCGTTGCCCACAACCATCAGCTATAAAGAAGTAAATGAAACAAAAAAAATTTCATCTCAAAGAATAATTTATTCTTAATGTAATATTAATTGATGCAATAAAAGAAATGTATGAATATATTTTGTATTTGTTATTGTATAAAAGTTCTCAAACAATCATTTCTAGCTCTCTAGCATAAAATATAGCTTGCTCTGCTAACTCAATTGTTGGTAAGATTTCTTTAGGCTTTGCAGTTTTATCAATGAAATTATAAATGCCATCAGAACTTAAAAGCCAATTCCGTTTTTGACCAATTGCTCTTACTTCATCAACAGATTTTAAATTAAGACGCCTTGCAGCTTCCTTCGGTGAAATCTTTTCGTATGACTTTTCAATACAAGCTCCGATTTCGTCTCGTACAGTATCCAGTAACGTATCCATAAAATAATTATATATTTCAGATGGCGCAGAATTCTGGAAATCAGTAACTTATACATATACATTTATTATACAAGTCTACAAATTTCATACCTTGGCTTGGAATATTTTATTGTATCTGCCTTCCATTATATACTGCTCAAGTGCCAATATTGGACGTATATATTGGTTTTTTTGAATAACTTCAGCTGACAATAACTCTAATTCGGTATGAAATTCAGAGACGCGAATTACTGATAATAAATACAATAAATTTAATCCTAGTAATTTGTACATATTCTCTGATTCGCCGATCTGTTGTCTAAAATGTAAGATGATAATAGATAATAGAATATTATTTCACATAAATAAATAACTCACTTGTAATCATAGTAGTAACATTTTAATTGGGACATATAACGTTCAAAAGCTGGTATGTCTTTGTTGGCGACACTATATTCTACGGCAATTTCAAGCACGTCACGAGCTAAAATTAATTCATGTTTTGAAGACTTCAGATCACCAGTTGGCAAATAAGAGAGTTTCGTAAGTGCAATCTAAAAGATATATGGGTAAATATGAGAATAATTCTTATATATATATATATAGTGCAGAATATTTTATACATCTTATTGACTACCTTTAACTTATCAAGAATCTGCCCACATTTTTTCAAATTCCTTGGTTTTTTTATCCACTCGGATTTAAGTTCTTTGTAGAAATTTTCAATGCTCACTATTTCAGCAGACATTATTAACTCAAAAAAAAATCAGCAAGATGAAACTAGTAATGAATTGCTAAAATTGAAATTTTTTTTAATTGTTGTATTTCCTAAACGTCAGCGATGAATTTGGAGAATTATGAACTGTCAAATAATTATATTTTTGACAACTTACTAATCTATTACTTTATCAATTAGAAAATAATATCAATGATATGTTTTTAACAACTTTAAAAATTAACAAGTTATCTAATTGTTAAATTAAAAAAGAAAAAACCTTCTACACTTCATAATATGTATTCAATTTTCGTAAAAATGTAGAGTATTAAAATTCCAAACTTGAAATGCCAAATTGTTATTGATGGAGAACAGTATCTTGTTCGCTCTCGCATCTGTGCTGTCGAGTACAACGAACTAAGTAGAACAAAGTACACACTATGTGCATCTTTTATTTAGATTTACCAGTGCCATTTTATTTGTGAAATGTCATAAAGCGTTGGTTAATGGCACATTAAAAATTGTCGCGTAGAAATAATTAGTTATTTTACACGGTTTGTAGTAAAAATTAAAATTATAAAAGAAGGACAACATAAACTGGTGAATCATAGTGCATTTAATGTATTGCTATATAGAAAATTAATAAAATTTCAACTGCCTAATTAATGTGTAAATTACACAGGAATTTAGTAGCTGAAAGCAGTGAATTTTTCAAGCGCGGGAATATATGTTTTATGTGATTTGTTTTAATTGAATGCTTGGTGTAATAAATTATTTTATACGAAAGTTGCGAACTCTTAAAGTGTAAGAAACAGAAAAGTAAAATTTATAGTTTTGTTTGGCATCATTTTCATTTCATTGCAGTACAGTTGTGGCAAAACTAATTTGTGGTTATAATTTATTATTAAAGAGCGCACAAATGGAATATGTACTTATTATATAAAATATGTCTATAGTTGCAATAATACAATGGTAATTTCACAAACTGACAAATTTGAATCAGAACCACATAATGGGAACTTTGTAGGATTATATTGTTTTAGTATGTGCTTGACTTGCAGTGTTGTTTTTGTTTTTTCGTTAAATAATATATTTTGCTATTAAAAAATATCAGCACTCGATGTATATTAATATATAAATATTCAATATGTAGTCTATGAAAAATTATAAACCCGCCAGAATATATATTTCTTATACGACAAAATACGAGAAGCGTTGCCAGACGCTGGGGTGTGTAAACCAATCATTTTTATAATTGTTTAGTTTGAGTTCTTTAAAGATACCATATATAATTGAACGGTTGTAAATTATATATTTCTATATGCATATTAATGTGTTGTTTATTTATGAAACAGCCTTTATAAGATTAAAAACAAATTTTTCTAGTAAGAAATTGTTAAAATTTCTGTATCATAATTCTATATTGCTTATATTGATAACCCAGGCAAGAAACTTCTTGGAACTTGTTAGTTTTTTGAAAAGGCAAATAAATTAATTCGGCTTGTCGAGTATTGGTGATATTTTAAAGTGACCTTTAATGATAATATCAGTAGTGTAATATCATCACCATTTAATAGACTTAAGTGATGTTTTCTATATCCTAAACAGTTTTAAGTAATTTAAATATTTATTTTTGTTTCTCATATTCTTACAGTTTTATGTAAAATGCGAAGTGGCAAAAAACTCAAAGCTGTGGAAGCAAAAAAAACACGTTTATGCGTAGTAAGACTGCCAGACATTAGGCAAACTACAAACAGAAAAGTCAATTCAACTCCTAACAGCGTAAAATTAACACCAACAGACGATAAAAAATTCAAAGGTCCACTCAAAAAACGTCCAATATCAGATATTTCAACTCCAAAAACTTCAGCATCCATAATGCCACCCAAATCGAAAAATAAGCCTGGTAGACCATCGTTAAAAAATATTGTTATTGACTCACCACCCCCCACTATTGCAGCAGGAAGATCGCGTCGTGCTATCAAGCCAAATCCAAAATATGCAAGTGATGACTTAGTAACACCAAAGTTAATAAAAAATGTGGCTTTATTGGGAGCAAGTGCAAGTAAGAAGACTACTCCATCGGAAAAGCAACGAAAAGAGTCTTCAAGCAGCGACGATTTCTTCAATAAAGAATCTGATACTGATGAGATTATAAATTTGGACAAGGAAGTAAAGATTATTGACAAAAGTAGGGATAGTGATGAGGACTTTATGGAGATTGAAGAAGAACCTGTAATTCAACCAAAACGACGAGGACGTCCACGTAAAGTAGATAAAGTACAAACTCCACGATTGAGTCAATCGGTCAAAGTTGGACAAATATCGCGTAATACACCAGTTAATAAATCTACACCATCACAACTACAACAATTACGTAAAACGTTCGCATCCAGTGTTAAACGAATTAGTGAAACAAATTTGAAAAGAGCTCTCGAATCAACCGAAGAGAGTGATAATGATAGCGTCAGCACTCGTAAAAAGTTGCTATTATCTGCTGGAATGACACTTACAAAATTTAAAACGATTGAGAAGGAAGAAAAGAAAGAACCACAATTAAAGCAATCGTTTCTTCAAAGTCGTAAATCTTTAAATTTAAATGCAATAAATAATAATAAGAGCGTTAACAAATTAAGTTCTATTCAACAACATGCGTTGGCAATTCAAGAAAAACGAAAAATGTTAGAAAAAACAATTAATAAAACAAATTTAACACCACCTTCCTCAGATTTACAGTTAAACCAAATCTCTGCAAATAAAACGCTAAACTTATTAAAAGCCTCTGCCGAAAAACGGCGTAGTTCTTCACCCTCTTCGAAAAATTTATTGGATAAAAGATCGAAAGAGGAAGACAAATTATATGTTGTAGAACCAAGTTCCGCAAATAAACCGAAGGAAGCAATGCCAACATTTACAATTGTAAATATAAATGATATCATTAATAAAAAAGGAGACGTTCTAATATCACAAACAGATGCGAATGTTACCACGAAAGTTAGTAAAGACGAAAGTCCTAGTACTAGTTCAACAAAAAGCACCGTAACATCTTCAATAAGGGGACGACGCAAGGCGTTACATACAACTATTCGTTCAGAGAAAGCAGACTCCGATAACGATGTTACTCCTGCTACAAACACTCCAAACAATCAGAAGAAGGCCACGAAAACCATTTTGAATCATACCCTTAATAAAAAAATATTAACAAGGACAAATGCACAAAATTCAGCTGCGAAACCTGCACCAGTAGAAAAACCAGCTCCACGTATATTAAATTCAGTAGTAGCGAAGAAAATGCAGCCTGTCCGACCGATGATAGCAAATCCGGATGATTCAGCTGATGAAAGTTTTCCACTCTCTCTCGGCGATGAAGAGGAATTTGAGGATGATTTAGATATTGATAAACCGCAGTATCACAATAAAAAAACTATTCCTACTAAGGAAAATTTATCAGCTATAAATAATCGCTTACCACAAAAAATGGCACAAAAAACGACTCCAGAAAAAGTTGTTATTTCACGACACGGCGACAAAATAATAAAAAAAATTACATGCTTTGAAACGTGGTATGTTATCAATCCACCAGAAGAACGGGCACCTGTAACAATTCGTAATCAATTTGAAATTCCAATGATTAAATTAGCAAATAAAGCTAGCGAGGTGCTACTTCCCTCAGATAGTTGGAGTTATAAAGTTACTCTGTGCGAACTAGCACCGTCAGTTATTATGAAATCAAACCTTACTACTTACACTGGTGACTTAAGCGCACAAAATATTCCAGAAGAGGATCGTGCAAGGTACCAACCGTCATGTGTAATGTTTCGTAGATCAGTAAACGATAGACTGAAATCGAGATTACCTTTTGATCGAGCTGTAATATTTAAAAATAAAACATTCTTTACTAACATTGAAGGCAAAAATGTAAAATTAATTGGCGCGCCAACAACGATTCGGGACTTAAGTGAGGTTGAGACTTTATTGGAAATCGTTGACCTTCTTACCTTGGGGAGTGATTTAGTAGAGACTGCAACAACAATGCAGTAAAATATATTGATATTTTATGTACTATAATAAATAAATCTGTTGATTTTTGTAATTAAGACTTTGTATAAATGCGAGTAGATAAATTATTCGTTACGAACGTAATTTGTTTTTTTTCTTTTCCCAATATGAAATCTTATATTACAATTATCTTTGTAACACATATTGTTAGAGTTGCATCATACGCATATATTAGTTACATTTTTAAAATATGGGCGCAGCATAACGCGTTCATTATTTTGAACTTAACATTATCCAAGATTGTTAAATTGCGTTCAAATATATTAAAAAATCTTTAGTCTAATAATATGGTTTTCTAAATAATTAGAAATTCATTTATGATATAATGTAATTTATGAAATCGAGATAGTTTTCTATAGAATTAAAAGTGTAATAAAAATTTAAACTTATTAAAAAAGTATGTTTTGAAATCAACAAATATTGTTATATATATTTACTTTCCTTATGTAAAATGAATATATTCAATAAAGGATATAAATTCCAATTTTGGCAATTTTTAATAAGTGTGGCAACTCTTTATGAGTACGTTCAGCATTTAATTCTTTTTTAGTTTTCAAATATTTTGTTTTTATTTTAATTAATATTTTATTTATTAATTAATAATAAATATAAAAATAAATATCTTTTAAACGATTTAATCGTCTCAGTAAAATAGGTAAGTCAGTTTTTATGAAACCAGATTTCATTAATTAATTACATTAATTTATATAAATGTTAAAAAACATTCGGGAATTAGCAATGAGTTAAACACATATAATATTAATTAATATTTATTTTCTTACGAATTATTTTTTTGTTTAAATATAATAATAAATTCAATTTTAATATAATTATCCAACTTAATTATTTAACTTAAGCTACTGTATTAGAAAGTTACTGCGCCTTCTCACTTGCTCATCAACACCTTGAATTTCTAATAATAATTAATAATTGGAGCAGCGATCCAAAAATTAAAACGAAATAATAATTGAATGTGTTCTATTCCTTAAAATTTATAACAAAACCTTTATATATATTATATAATTACACATTTTTGTTTTTTTATGTAATACTTTAATTCAAATATATTTATCCATAACAATAATAAGTAAGTTTTATAAAATGTTCATGTAAATTAACGAACACGAATGGTTCCTACAACGTCTGGGTGTACTTCCTGGAGCCACTCGTCAATTTAGACGACCAAGTACCTTTTCCTACCATGTAAAGGGTGTGTTTATCGAATTATATATTAAACAACATAATATAATATTCAATAATATTATAATAAATAATATTATATTATATTAAATAATACTATATTAAAAATATCATATTAAAATAATGTATTATATTATTTTAAATAATATATCATAGTATTTTAAATAACATATCATATTATATTAAATTTTTGTTATATAATATAAACATTTTGTCATAATTCTCATATTATATTATACTACATTAAATAGTATTACAATA